GAAAATATCGTAGGAAACGGAATACAAAACGCAATTATGATAAACAACACTGTTAACGCTTCATCGCTTCGCAGGACAAAGAACGACTCTCGCTATTGTTTTCCCTATTAATATGGTCTCTCTCTCACTCTCACGCACTCTCTCCGCAACTCGCATTCGCACAAACACACTCGCACTTGTTTAATAACAACGAACGTCGGAAGGCCACGGTCTTCCCTCGTTTTGCCTATTCGTTTCCTACGGAAACGAAATCGACCACATGATCGGCCCGCTCCGGTCATTGACCTCCTACAATATATTTCCGAATGTTTGAGAATGTGGCAATTAGGTGGCCACATGGAGATATTTAGACGTTTCCTTTTAGTACATGAACTGAATTCTGTTCTGAACTTTTTTAACTCTATGTGACAGTTTCATTTCCGACTATTTTGCAAAAACGGTTCTGTTGCGTCGTGCGGCTTCCAACAAGCGGTATGTTCGAGAGTGGTGGCGCAGGAATGTCGCTGGTTCGTGGTGCGGGTTGTTTGCTGATATGAAGTCGTGGTGTGGTGAGGTTGCACGTATTTTATTATGTTAAAAGAAAAAGACTTTATTTCGAAGAGTAGTAGTTTATGTGGTGTTTGTCTATTTTTCCTTTTCGATCTGATGTGCGCCGCGTTGGCGCGCTTATTTATAAAAAGGTTTAGGGGTATAAGGTGGTGGTCTTCGCCAATGGGAACTGGTCTACCCCCTTGGACGGTCCTTCCTGGCCCGCGAGCATGCCGCCCACCCTGGAATTTCCAAGTTGGCAGGGTGGTGGTATGTCGCGATGGCGGGGGAGTGAGGCCCAAGGGGTAGCCCGCGCGTAGCGGGACTTTGGGCGGTCAGGGAGACGCGAGAGGCTTTATGACATGTCTATGTCTATTGAATGTTGACGAGGGGGCACCGGGAAGGTATATGGCCCGCAGAAAAGTTATTTTTCTGCAGCCATAAAACGCTTCCTGGGCTTCGTGGCCAATTTGAAAGAAAAATTAATTAACGCGAAGAAGAAAAGGGGCGCATTGAAAAATAGCGTAAACAGGCGTCCATGTCATAAACCCAATCCCTAACAGGTTCCACGTAATTGTAGTGTAAATCGGTGCGATGTAAAGTCGGCGATAAATTCAATCTTTTTAGACTTAGATCACTTTCATAATCAAAAATTTGGGATCACTGTGCAATGCAAGTTGCACAAAAATTTCCGGACCAAAGTTAGCAACTTTGAGAATTCTTCACCATTCGAATCAATCGAAACCAGGTAGATTATTATTGATCTCTACAACGTCGATTTCGAATCTATAAAGAACTAGTAAATGATTCATTATTAATGTAATTCAGTGTATACGCGATTTTCTACATTCTCGTGTTAATCTAATTTCACTTATCTGACTGCACCCTTTCGTTATTATACGCGCCTGCAGGCGTTTTGAAGCCTTTCGGTGCACTTCCGCTTTAATTTAATACTTCATTTTATCCTTCGCGCACTTGCGCTTTAATTTAATCAACCGAATTTTAAAACGATACGGCAGAAATAAGAAATTTTGCAACCGCGGTAAAAATATTACCGCCAGCCACCCAAATTACGCCTGAAAATCTGCCGTAGCGAAAGGGTTAAGCAGGGCTCGTACATCTTTACACCATCGTCCCCGTTATTACTCGACGCGATAAACACGCTTTTGTCTGTTCATTTATTAT